TTAAAAAACAAATGCCAAATGTCTTCTTTGATTTAAGGAGAGCAACTAAGAACTGAGCAGGGAGGAAGAGCATGAGGAAAAGATTAACATTAAACAGAGATGAGTGGTGGGAGGGAAAGGGAGAGAGAAGGGAAATTGCATGGAAATGGAAGGAAACCCTCAAAATGTTATACAAAATCACATACAAGAGGTTGTGAGGGGAAAGGGGGGGAAACAAGGGAGAGAAGTGAACAACAGCAGATGAAGTAGAGAGGGAAGATGAGAGGGGAGGGGAGTGGGGATAGTAGGGGATAGGAAAGGCAGCAGAATACAACAGTCACTAATATGGCATTATGTAAAAATGTGAATGTGTAACTGATGTGATTCTGCAATTTGTATTTGGGGTAAAAATGGGAGTTCATAACTCATTTGAATCAAATGTATGAAAGATGATATGTCATGAGCTTTGTAATGTTTTGAACAACCAATAAAAAAACATTAATTTTAAAATAAAATGAATTTGTCAGTCTCAGGAAAAAACAAAGGAGATAAGTATCAGAAAGAATAGAGAAGATTTGAAAAAATAGTTTAAAATCTTAATTTTATGGATAGACATAGTATTCACTGCATTAAATGACTGAAATAATTCAGAACACTTTCATGTTCTAGGTCACAAAGCTAATTTAAACAAGTTTCAAAAACTGCTTTCATGCAAACCACAATTTCTAACCACAATGCAAATGAGGTTAAAAAATAATTTCAATCTCACTCTTCCAGAGAACAGAAGAAGGCATGTGTTTTATTTAATTTTATAAGGCCAGTATAATCTTGACTTGAAAACCAGAAAAGGAAGATATGAAAAAGGAAAAATACAAAGCAATATTACAAATATGGGCTCATGAATCCCCAAACAGGTATTAACCAACAGAATCTTACATTATATCAAAAATGTATAAATTCAATGTTGATTTAATATGAGGAAACTAATTAAAGTAGAACATTAATTAAGAAAAAAGTATGATCTTAATAGGTATAGAAAACTCAACATCTATTCATGATTTTTTTTAATTATAAAACTAGAATTGGAAGAGAATTTCCCTGACCTGATAAAGGGCTCTTATAAAACAGAACTCTGGAGAAGCATTTTGGGTTAACTGGGAAATGTTGATATGGTTCCTTTAATAGCAGGAAGCCAAATAAGAATGTTTACTATCTCTGGAGATCCTAGTCAGCAAAGCAGGACAAGAGAAAAGATGTCCCACACTGAAGGGAAAGTACAAGCATATGGAGGAATGAGTCAGGCAGATGCTTGGGGAGTCAATCTAAAGTGACATCAAAACACTAGTAGGGTGCTAAAACATAATTGAAAATGTAGCCAGAAGGAACATAAGTCACATATTTACTAGATCTCTCCTCAGTGAAATTAAGGAATGTAGGTTGGAGGAACACTTAGATAAGCCATTTAGAATTGAGAAAAGCACCCTGCGGGCCTGCATGAGAAACACAGATGGTCAGTAAAGTGTCTTCTAATGAGAGCAGTATTCAATAACTCCAAGGATCATGTTCTGCAGAGAGAGGTGTGCAAATCTGAAGCTAGCAGTGGATTACCTTGGATAGAAAATGGGCTAGGCTGATTTCAGTAACAGTCTGATTACTACTCCATCCTTTCCAAATATAGCACTTAGTTCTTTCTCTGGATTCATCATGTAGTGAAATAAAGGTAGTGTGTCCAACTACAACTAAAAAAAAATAACATCACTGAGTGAAAATTAATAGCCTGCTCAGGGGCACTCATGCATTTTGGTGTGGTTTCTGTGGGAAGAAGTGGAGTGATGAGAAAGCGGACTTGAAGGCTATTGGGGAAGATGATGCTGGTGAGGTCAGAAGAGATAAGAAGTGTCAAGAGTCTGAGGAAGATCACACAACAAGCTACATGAAGAATTAAAGGAAAGAAAGAGAAGAAGACAGGATGAAGGCCTTTCTAGCCCATAGCCTCAACCTGGCAAAAGAGGGAAAGAGAAGGGATGAAAAATGTTGTGATTTTAAAAAAGTCTTTACATTGATTTTATTCACAAATTTGTGATAACATTTTTATCATATCCTTTTCTTTTCCAGGATAAATGATATTTTCTTTGAGAATTTAAAATTTATTTTATTTTTTGATATTTTTTAGTTGACAATGGATCTTTTATTTTATTTATTTATATGTGGGGCTGAGGATTGAACCCAGGGCCTCACACATGCCAGGCAAATGCTCTACCACTGACCCACAATCCCAGCCCCTTAAAATTTATTTTAGATACCATTATATAGAACTTAAAACATTTCTCTTTTTAAAAACCAGACATATGGTAGGGAAGATTTTGCAAAAGAGAAGACACGCCTCTTCCATTTATTTCCCAGTAAGGTAATATTCTCCTTTGTTTACTCTTCCCTAGAAAAACAACTTGGTTTAATGTTTTTATAGTAAATTTTTACCTTCTAAGAAAAAACTCATGAAAAATTAAGCATCAAGATTTTTAAATTATTTTTGTCCTAGATATGTTACCTTCACTACCTACACAGTGTTACCAGAGTAAGTTATTATTAAAAAACATATATAGTGTGGGGGATAGCCTAAAGAATTCTTGCCTCTTGATTAGCTGTATTCAGCTTGTCTTCCAGGGCTTCCTTCAGGTTTTCTAGCTCTAGTTGAAGCTGATTTTTATCCTCTTCCAGGTTTAGTTTTTCCTTTTTATATTGTTCCTCTAATTCCTTAGAAAAAGAAATATTAGAAAATAAACAATATTGAAAACATTATAAACTTAAGATTCCAAGAAAGACTTTTCTGTCTTATATTTTGACAATTTTCAAATTAGCCTTACCTTTAAACAGTATCAGAATTAACAGCGACTCTGCTCAATCCCAGTAGTTTTTTGAATAGAAAGAATATGTAGCTGGTTTAAATTGTTATAGTAAAAAAACTGAGAAGTATGATTTCAATGATAATTTGATGAATAAAGAAAACATTACTATTCTCCAGAATTCAGAATTCTTTTATGTTTACATTTAAACAAATCCAGTAACACTTCTGGACCTCAGACGTCTAATATAGAAATAACAGTAGAGTATTAGCATGTTCAAAATTAAGACACTGAATAGCAAAACCAGTAAAACTGATACTTACTCAAGACTACCTACTCTTTGCCAGGTGTGCTATTTAATACTTGGGAAACAAACGTATTAAGACATAGTGGCTGCCTTTAATAAGCTCAAGAATGAAGTAATATGGAAAAAAATGTTCAACATCTATAGTAATTAGAGAAACATAAACCAAAACTACTCTAACATTTCATTTCACACCAGTCAGAATGGCAGTTATCAAGAATACAGACAACAATAAGTGTTGATGAGAATGCGGGGGGGGGGGCGGAAAGGCACACTCATACATTGCTGGTGGGACTGAAAATTGGTGTAAGCAATCTGGAAAGCAGTATGGAGAGATTCCTTAGAAAACTTGAAATGGAACGACCATTTGACACAGCTATCCCACTCCTTAGTCTATACACAAAGTACTTAAAATCAGCATACTATAGTAATGCAGCCACATCAATGTTTATAGCAGCTCAATTCACAATAGCTAAACTATAGAAGCAACCTAGATGCCTTTCAATAGATGAATGGATAAAGAAACTGTGGTATATACACAATGGAATATGACTCAGCATTAAAAGAGAATAAAATTATGGCATTTACAGGTAAATTAGGATAGAGTTGGAGAATATCATGCTAAGTGAAGTAAGCAAATCCCCCCCCCAAAAAAAACAAAGACTGAACGTTCTCTTTGATGAGTGAATGCTGAGTCATAACTGGGGTGGGGTGGGGTGGAATATGGAGGTAGGTACCTTGATTTGGCAAAAGGGAGGGAGAAGTGGGAAGGATACAGGGGGACAGGAAAGATGGGTGGAATGAGATGGATATCATTACCCTAGGTACATGTAAAACTATACATATGGTGTGACGCTACATCATGTACAACCAGAGAAATGAAAAGTTCTTCTGCAATTGTGTACAATGAATCAAAATGCATTCTGCTGTGATATATACCTAATTAAAATAAATAAATATATTTTAAAAATCAAGTAATTAAAGATATTAGTTAGAATTAGACATACAGAGAGGGTACAGGAGTATATGGATGGGGAACTGATAAGGTAGTTTGGTAGGGAAACCTTTAGAAAGAAAGAAATTCCTAAGTATGATTTAAAAGGGCTATAGCAGGAAGGAAAAGGAGGTGGAGTAAGAAAGGAATGCAAAGGCAGAGGAAAAAGCAAGTGATATACCATGGAAGCAAAAAAGAGCATGGAATGTCACAAGATATTCAACATCCCTACACTGTGAGGGGAGTAGAGTAATAAATGGATCCGATTTTAGGGTACCCATGACACACTGAGGCGTGGTGATATGCTAGGAGTACTCACAGGACTCCTTGCACAGTGGCTCTGATTTATTACAGCAAAATCATTCAAAGTACAACTAGAAAAGGGAAAGGAATGTGAGTTGAGGTCTATAGGAGACAGGCAAAGCTCCAAGAACCCTTTCATATTGAATACAATTTCATAGCAATTTATGACAATTCACTGTGAAATGCTGTCTACCAGGAAAGTTCATGAAATACTTGGTACCCAGGTTTTTGTTAGCAGCTGGTCACCTATGATCTGGCATTGTATGCATGAACAGTTTAGATACAATGAGTCATTCTTATGAGAACCTTGCTGAAATCTAAGTTCCAGATACCACACAAGAGCTGCTTTGCCTTTCTAAGGCAGTGCAGTCTCAAGCCTGCATGTCAACTCCTCTGCTTGGGTTCTCTGTGTACTCACTTTCAGGTGGGTGAACTAGTTAGGATGAAAAACATAATCCTTTGGGATAACTTAACAATGAGGAGCAGAGAAGTCATCTTCAGCTAAATATTCTTTAAAAACTATTCTAGTAACATGGTTTTAGCTTAGACTCAGACAAGCAAGAAGGCAGGAGGGAAATGAAGCAGCAAGTTACAAATAGTTATTTTGACAAAAGAGAAGAGTACAAATAAGGCTACCACAGATGTTTTGAATATGTTCACATATAGGAAACATCAAGTAATCTTATAGCAATCATGCTTTAAGAAATTTAAGTGGGTTAAGGCAGGCTTCTGAGGTGGCCTCAAAATATAGTGCATAAAAGAATTATTAAGAGTAAAATAATGAAGTAAAAATGATACTTATAAAAGATAATTTGATTCTGGCACTAAAACAATACAGAGATATAAAGACTAAAAGCAAGACACGCACCATTTAAATGTTCCAATAAGAAAGGAGAAGGGTACAGTGAGAGGGATACTGAAATGAAAAACAATAGTAAAAGATAGCTATCAAAGAAATTACAGAAGTAGCAAGTACCATTTATCATTTTGCAATAAAATCCTGAACATCCAGAGCCACTCAGCACACATGATTAAAGCAGCACACGTCAGTCCTGGAATAGTGAGTATGCATAGAGTACATAAGTGTTTAGCTATATAAGCTTAGGCAGAAATAACATTCTGAGAGAATGTCCTACTTGAATTTTTAATTTTTAAGGTCTTGAAATATTTTTTCCAACTAGTTGTGGCACAAAAGATGACAGAAGATCTAAATCCATATTCCACTTGTTCTACTTACCATGTTTGTGGCTCTGCATTTGGGTTTATTAAACATATTAAACTATCTGTATAATAAAAATAATAGTAATCTCCAAATCTTGAGTATTAAGGAATATACTATAGGAAAGCTCTTTTTAAACTCCAAAATGCTACTATATATAAGGTAACAGTCATCATTAATAGATGACTACATGAGGTGGTGTTTAAATGCCTTGGAGTTTGGGATACATGAAACCTGAGTTCAAGGCCTGAGTTTCATTAGTTTCACATGACACATGACTAAGCACATCCCATCTTCAGTAAAATGGCATTAAATGAAAAAATATATGTACAACATCATGGCAGTATCTGCCACATGATAAGAAATACTAATAACCAGTATTTTTTCATCATCATGTGCTAGGACATGTCTGGAAACCCAACACTTTAACTTGAGCCTCAGAGGAACATCATAGCTCGTAGAGCTCAAGGTAATGTGGCTAATAAGCAAAGAGCTCCATGTAAGGCCAAAGTCTGTCATATATTTCATTTTTTTTACTGTGCCAATACTGTTATGTAGAATCATTAGTAAGCTGACGACTTAGTTGAGTCATTTTCACAGGAAAGGAAAATAGATGCTTTAACTAGTTGAGACTTCCTAAAGGGTACACTTAGTTGGTTGTCTCATGAAGAGACAGTTCAATATCAAAGCCAGTATTTCTACTAAAACAACAATGCCATATATCAGTTCAATAAACTATGTCCCATGTCAAGAACTTCATGTATGATTCTATTTGAACCATAATTTGAAGAATGATTATAGGACAGGAACCATCAAAATGAAGCAAATTATTCCTCTATAATATAGGCTATGTTGGATTTCTCATCAGTTTACAACACAATGATAAATTGAATTTTTACTTACCATTTGCAGTTTTTTCTTATCTCTAATTGCATTGCTGTGGACAGCCTCAATCGCCATATGGTGCTTCCAGGCTAATTCTTCCAAAGTCTTAGAATGGGCTTCATTTAATTGAGTCACCTCTCCTTCCAATCTATTTTGCAGGTTTTTTAACTCCATTTCATAATATTCTTGCTGAGTTCTCTTTGCTTCATTTACTTTCTTAAATTAAAACCAATAAAGGTCAGTAGTTTCTATTACCGCTATTAGTATTTGAACACCTTACAAATATATAAACTTGAATAAACTGAATGCTATGAGATCTACTTTTGAAATATAATAGATCACTGGTATACTCAGAAAGTGACAAGGTGGCAGAGGTAAAATAAAATATTTTAAATCAAGAAGTAAAATAGATCATTATTAAGTTAGACTCATATATAAATCGAAAAAAAGGAAGTTTAAAAGAGATTGACCTCCTATATGTAAAGTAGCATGCAAAATGGTTCACTCATTAGCTATCTCAAGTGATACTATTCAATAAAATTTTGAATTCCAATTGAATATCCTTTAAGCACTCACAAGTCTAGTGGCAAAAAAATGTTAAAAGACACTGAGAATATAATTTTATAAGTCCTATGAAAGGGGTGTCCATCATGTGTTGTGAGAATACACAGGAATGGAGCTTAACTGGATGGAAGGTGAAAGGTTGTGTGTATGCACATATATTAAGTTATTGAGAGAAGGAGAAAGGAAAGGATGACCAAAACTCCTACATGGTACTGTGGGTATCTGAAAAAAAAACAAATAAATATTCAGCAATGACTCTACAAATAACATCTGACTTATTTAATCTAGAAATCTGATTTGCTGATATATGAATTTTCAAAACTTAATGCTTGTCATCCTTTTCAGTTGTATAAAAATTTCCTAGGTGTATGTGCAGATGAACATGGTGGCATATACCTATAATCCCAGCTACTCAGGAGGAAGAGACAGAGGACAGAAAGTTTGAAGTCAGCCTGGGCAACTTAGTGAGATCTCAAAAGTTTTTAAAAAAGGGCTGGTGATGTAGTTCAATGGTAGGGTGCTTGCCTAGCATGATTGAGGCTCTGGGTTCAATTCCAGTATTGAAAAAAAATTAACACAGAAAGAAATCTGATTAACTAAATGCACCTTCCATTGAAATCAGAGTTCACTCAGTTTCTGGCTTGAAATAGGTTGAAATGTCTTAAGTTTTTATATTCTAGATTATTACCCAAGTATTTTGAATATATACACATTATGGAATACTCTAGCTTTGTAAATTTCCTCATGATAAAAATAAAAACAACTGCAGAAGTAAGAAATGCACTGTGGAAGTAGGAGTAAACACTCCAAATACTTTAAATCTGAAAACAAGCAAAACTGACCTTTCTCCCCTCCCTTTTTGAGGTAGGGTATCTTATTATTCTTTACCTTCTCTAGTTCCAGGATTTGCTGTTTTTGCTCTTCATCCAAACTTTGAGTTCTGCTTTGCAAAAAAGCTCTTTCCTCCTCAAGCTGAGATAATCTCTCATTGGCCCTTGATTTTTCTGATTCTAAATCTTTAATTGTAACCTCCTGGGTCATTTGAGTTGCTTGAAGCATTCCAATATGACCTATGCCCCCCCAAAAGAAAATCCTTTCAATTTAGAAATCAGTTATTGTGATACTAAACAGTTTGTATTTAATTACACAATTGTACTTTATACCTAAGTAAAATAAATTGGTCTGCATGTAAAATTTTTTCTTTGGTTTCTTCACTGTATCAAATGGAAATATTTACCATGGGAATGTTTCTTATCCAACTAAAATAATTTAAATTAGAAAGTCCATTTTCATTTCACTGAAGTTGCTCTCTGTACCTAATAAGTTTCTGTCTTGTCTTTTTTCTTTTTTAACATTGTAGGCTATACAAGCTGAAGTAGAAGCAACTCTTCATTGGTTCATGTAAAAGTCTCCTGGGAGTAAAACAAGGTAAGAGGATGCACAGACTAACACTATGAAGCCAAAATGAGCAATTTGTTCTTTTCTAATTTCTTCTTTCTTCTAATTTTAATAGAGAAAGAATTTGTATGCAGGGAACAAAGGTGGCAGATAGCAGTTTTGTTGAGACTGAATTTGTTTTAGACAAGAGACTAGATTAAAAAAAACAGGTAAGAACAGCAAAGTTATGAAAGAATGAAATAAATGGCAGTGAAAATGCATGGGGAAGGGGAGGAAAATGAGAGAGCAGATGTGAATTTGAAAACAGAGACTCATAGAAAGCATGGTTTAATGCAGTAGTTCTCAAAGTACCAGCAGGACCAACATCATGTGAGAAAAAAGCCTGCCCAGACCCAGTGAGTCAAAAACTCTTAGGGATGAAGCCAAGCATCATTGATTTCACAAACCTCCAGGTGATCCTGATGCATGTTGAAGGTTATTAAAAATTACTACTTTGTGGGAAGAGAAATCTGTGATTTATCAATAAGCCAATGAAAATCAGAAAAGGTGTTAATCAGCTTTGCTGGGCACATTAAACACTACAACAAAACACAACTTTGGATTTGACATGTCAGCTACCTCCTCTAGTAAGGACTATGAAATGAGCAACTCAGCCACTTGAGAATGGACAACTCAGTTTTAGCATGTAAAACAATCCTTAATAGCAAGTCAAATGAAAGTTGCATATAGTTTAACTAATTTAAATGCTCTAAAATGTAGGCTTTTAAAGGATGAAAGTCTCCTAGAATGTTTGATTTTTCTTTTACTGCTTTATTTATTGGTGATTTTACCAGCTAAATCTTAGTTTTTCTACAAAAATATATTTGCTTCTTATGGTTCACTAATAAGATAACAGAGTCCTTTAACATAGAATCCAAATAATTTTAAAATATTAGTAAAATAGGGCTGAGGTTGTGGCTCAGAGGTAGAGTGCTTGTCTAGCAAATGCAAGGCCCTGGGTTCGATCCTCAGCACCACATAAAAATAAATAGGTAAAATAAAGAAAGGTATTGTGTCCAACTACAACTAAAAAATAAATATTTTTTAAAAATATTAGTAAAATGTTTAAATTTTAAATCAGAAAAAATTGTTAAATATTCAAATTTTGTCTTGAAAGAATATTTTAGTGTTGGTTTTAGCTGAGTTATAATTATAACAAATTATGGTCAGACATACTGGCTTTGAGGACAAGATCAGAAGCTTGCTGTTGTAGACGTTCTCTGGCAGCTGCTAGCTCACTTTCCACTTCTTTGTGCTTGCTTAATAAGGCCATTTCTCCCTCCTTGGCATCATCAAGCTGTTTTTGAAGAACCTAAGAAAGATTAGAGAGACATATTAAAATGCAAAAATGACACTAAGTTAAATCCTTTATTTAAATTATAAGCATAAGCTTTCTCTTGTTGAAAATTCCTACTTAACTATACCTAGTTTTAGATCTGTACACAATGGTGACATTTATAACTTTTTATTTGCACAAATTATGCCCCAGTCAGGAAAGACTATTCTACCCTTTCTAATTCATTCTATGCTACATAGATATTTTTAAAAGTTATTAAACTTATTATGCTAATGAGATAAAACTTCTAGAGACTTTTAGCTATTTTCAAGAACCATTAAAAACAATTAATTTTTGTTTGATGGGCAGACCACTGGAAGAGGAAGGAAAAAACATAATTAAACCCTAAGCCCAATGTTTTAACTCTCCCAAACCACTTAGGAAAATATTAACATGTTATTTAAATAAAATACCTTCATAAAAATCTATAGAATTTTAAGCTTATCTTTTTAGGCCCTAGATGTCTGAGATTCTGACAGAACAGGTTCAGGGTAATAAAAATCGTCACTTCATTGATTTTTCTCACAAAGGAAAAGGAAAAAATGGAAAAAAGAAAAATTTAAATTATGAGAATGCAAAGAAGCTGATCCTAAACTAGCTAGGTGCTCTCCAGTCTACAAAATAAATATATTTAAAAGAGAAAAGAGAAAGAATTCATGTGTGGAATACAACTCTTGACTTACCTGAACATTGCTCTCTGCTGTGGCCAGTGCCATCTGCAGTTTTTGGCACTTGTCAAGAAGACTGCCAGCTTCATCCTGTACCATCTGTAATTCTGTCTTTAATTTTCCTATGGTTTTTCGTAAAATTGCTTCTTGTCCCTGAAATTCTTTTCGAAGATCAGCTTCTTTCTCTTTGCTAGCCTGTAAGCTTTCTGCTGTAAAAAGCTGTGACCTTTTCAAAGTATCAAGTTCACGTTCATAAAAAGACTGAGCTTTATTCAACTTGCCTTCATAATCTTCAATGAGTTTTTTCTTTTCAAGCCTTAGCTCTTCAAGTGTTTTGTTTAAGGCCTCCACCTCCATCCTGTGTAGTTCCTCTGTCTTCTCCAGCCCTTTGTTTACTGAGGCACTGTGATCCTGCTGTGACTTCAACAGCTCTTGCATCTCCCTTCTGTGAGCAGTCCGCAAATCTTCCAATGCCAATCCTTTGTCTTTTTCAAACTGTATTTGGAGCTGTCCAAAGCTCCGTAATCTTTCTTCAAATTTCCTTCTAATTTCTTCAACCTCTCTAGACATGGTTACTATGCGTTGGACATGCTGGGCTTCTGCACAAAGTTGCATGTCCTCAACTCTGTGCTTATAAGCTTCAAATTCTGTTAAAGCCTGTTGCTTCATTTTTATATGATCTTCTAAGGATGCTTCTAAAACTTGAATCTTTCTCTTAAGCTCTAACTCCTCTGTTACTTTGCTTTTATACTGCAGTATTTTTTCTCTTGTTTCTGCAAGAATTTGTTGGATTTCTTCTTCATGAGCATCTTTTAGGGCTTGAATTGCAGATTCATGCTCATCATTTTTAGTGTTCAAAGCATATATTACCTGTATGGTTTTAAGGGAGAAAAATGAGTAAACCATATTCTTTTACAACCTTAACTTATTCTTTCATTTGGATTGACTTTTATGCACATAATATTAGTTATGTAAATATTAATATTTACCATGAAACCTCAAGTTTTTTACTCATAAATTGATTTGCTTAGAAATTTCTATCCTAGCACAGACTTTTAAATGATGATTCAAAGCATTCAAAATTAAGCATGTTGTACTACAAATGAAAACGGGAGGAGGAAAGGAACAAAGGAGACTTGACTAAAAGAGAATGGGAGCCCTGGTCCCTAAGTCTTCCTCAAAGCCTCTTATGTCTGTTTAAATATTTTAAATTTCCTTTTCCAATTCTTTAAGGCTCTAGAACACTTCCACTTCTATTTCCCTTGTTTCTTTAAGAGAACAAGTTTCACTCATGGAATTTATTCCCAACTTGGACTGGTTCCCCTGTGGCTCCACAAAATGCCAGTGAACAGAACTCCAGTTTGGGAGAGTCCCAGATATACAGGGCCCAAAGGGGTTTGGTCCTTTTCCTCCTATCTTGTCCCTGTGTTCTAGAGCGTCCTATGGGCATCAGAAGTGCTCTCTGCTTAGGTATTAGAGTCTGATCCCAGTGCATTGGGCTCAGCTCCTTGAACACCTATGTCCTCTGGCACATCTTTGCTCACCACACAGCCTGAGGTTTGTTTTTAAAGCGGATCCTCTTCTTTTTCAAGTTGGTGGTCACCTTTCAAGATCCAATTGGAACATTTCACATACTAAATGCTGTGATTTTATTCACTGTCTAATTTTTCCTCTGCCTTCAAAAAAGTCGATTACTAGAACCAGAGTGCTATGGGTCTTGTCTTTCCTTTTAGTCCCTGTATTTTAATGATTCCACTGAGATTTCCCCTATTTTAATTCCACATGACAACATAGTCTCTATATAGTAACACTCTCATCCCTCCTCTCTGTTCTTTTTTTTTTTTTTAAAGAATTTTTAATATTTATTTCTTAGTTCTCGGCGGACACAACATCTTTGTTGGTATGTGGTGCTAAGGATCGAACCCCGGCCGCACACATGCCAGGTGAGCGCGCTACCGCTTGAGCCACATCCCCAGCCCTCCTCTCTGTTCTTTGATGCCTTCTATCACACCACTGTGGCCAAACCATTTAGTATATGGATACTTCCATGACTAGTACTTAAGACTTAGAGTTGTGCCTGATTTCTCCTGAAGCAATAAGAAGTAAATACTATATAAACCAACAAGAAGCTAAAAACTGGTATCCTGGATACCTGTTTATTTTAGTGTGATCTTACTCTGACTTTAGAAATAGATTCTAGCACCAGATACCAGGAACTAGTTAAAAAAAAAACAAAAACAAAATAAAAACTAGGATGCGTAAGTTTAAATTTTTGTAGAGAACTCATTCATGCAGCCTGGGAAAACTGAGGCAGACTCATCTGTTCTCCAAATATTCTTGATAACTCCAGACCCTACTTGCTGAATACAGGCTGTCATCCTCTTGGCCTGCCTACCTTGCAGAAGGCATAATACAGGCAGTGCAGTTCTACCCCACTGCAGGGGCTCACTCACAGCACATATGGCTTTGCTTTCAGATCCAGTAATCTGTCCATATACTCACTTGGTCTGCTGTAACTATTTTGAGATGCAATCATTAGAGGTAAGAAGATTGAAGGGTGGTAGGAACCCATCTATCTTACATAGGAAAATATGTGCACAGAAGAAAAATAAGTGCTGATTCAGTCTGTTTTTTTTTTTTAATCCTAATTCTAAATCCCAAATTATGTTCCTAATGAGCTAACACAAATTCCATGGAAGATTCCTTTATCTATGCATTGAAGCTTAAAAAGATAGTCTATAATACAAAAAAGTTGGGTGGCTTGCTATTCCTATCGAGTTCATACTTGCCTAAGTCAATGGCCAGAAAAGACTGGAAGGGTCTGTGATTCTGCAATATAATAAGAAATACACATTTGGTCTCTGCCCTTGGTTCCTAACATAGAGCTCCTAGACCTCCTAAACCCCTTGGAATTTCCTAGGTGATAGGACAATCTTTTGTTTGAAGGAGGTAACCTTGGTAGGCTGCAAGACAGCTTGAAGAGCCAAATATGTGATAAGAGTACTGGAACTTTCAACCACATTCGCACATCCTGCTTGACCTCTAAGGAGAGGAGAAAGGGCTTGAAGGTTGCTTTGATTATTAATGATCAAGGATTTATCAACCATGCCTACATAATAAAGCCTTCATAAAACTCCAAAGGACAGGGTTTGAAGAACTTCTACATTGCTGAATACATGGAGATACTGGGAGAGTGGTGTCCCCAGAAAGTTTTGTGCCCTTTCCCATAGACCTTGTCCTATGCATCTCTTTTGTTTGGCTGTTACCTGTAGTATTTTAAAGAAAAGGGTAAATGTGTTTCCCTCAGTTCTGTGAACCACCCTAGCTATATTAATTGAATGCAAGAGTGGGGAGTGGGAACCTAAGATTCAGAGCTTGTCTGTTACAAGTACAGGTCACAACTTGAAGCTTGCAAATAGCATCTGAAGTGGGCATAGTCTTATAGGACTGAACTGTCAACCTATGGGATCTGATGATATCTCCAGGTAGTTAGTATCATAACTGAATTGAATTATAGGACATTCAGTTGGTGTACACTGGAGAATTGGTTGTTCATAGGGAGAAAAACCATACATTTTGGTGACCAGAGGTGAAGAGTTCAGTGTAGAACTAAGTGTGAGAGTAGAAAAAACATTTTGTTTTATACCAAATGGAATCACAAAGAAAAAAAAAGCAAGTCAACCAGTCAGAGAGGAGCCCATTTGCCAGAATGCCTGGGTAAAGCTGGTGTAGACCTCTGGCCTCAGGACTTTCAAGGGCAGGTCTGCACCCAGTGACACTTTATCTTACTCACCACAGGGAAGAAAAATAAAAGTCAAAAACATAAACTACCAAGAGAAAAGCAAACCATATCTTTAGCAACTTGCTCCGGGAAATGATCTTAAAAATGACCAGTCCATGGTGGGATTCCTTATTTGGCGGAAGAAATGAAAGAGGGAGGTATTATGTGAGCTTCCACTTGTAAGTGACTTATTGAAACACTAGTTTTCTAATATTTAATTTACCTCCAACCTTTTAACAGTCAGCCTACCTGCCTGCCTTCCTTTCTTTTTTTGGTATTGGGGATTGAACACAAGAGCATTTTACCATTAAACTATATCCCTAGCCCTCCTCATTTTTTTTTTTTTGAGATAGGGTCTCGCTTGATTGCTGTGCCTTCCTTGAATTTTCAATCCTCCTGCCTCACCAGAATTACAAGTGTGCACCATCACATCCTGGCTTGGCTTATCATTTTTTAATATCCAGCATGTTCATTTCTTTAATATTATTCTCTTTAGAAATCCAATAAATATTTGATTAATTAGATTGGAAAAGTCTTGATAACAAGGTTGGAGAGATATATGAGGATGTCAGAGAGCCTAGAAAAGAAACTGAAGATATAAAAGCATAATGGCACTCAAAAAAAGTGAGTAAAGGCCAGGTGCAGTGGTGCACGCCTGTAATCCCAGTGGCTCATGAGGCTGAGACAAGAGGATCATGAGTTCAAAGCCAGCCTCAGCAAAAGAGAGGCAATGGGCTGGGGTTGTGGCTCAGTGGTAGAGCGCTTGCTTAGCATGTGTGAGGCAATGGGTTCTATCTTTAGCACTACATAAAAATAAATAAATAAATAAAAGTGAGGCACTGCGCAACTCAGTGAGACCCTGTCTCTAAATAAAATACAAAATAGGACTGGGGATGTGGCTCAGTGGCCAAGTACTCTTGAGTTCAATTTCCGCTACCTCCCCCACCCAAAAGGGATAAATAAAAGTGTGAAATTAAAGGGGACACAGAAAGGAATTATCAACATGGAGTTAAAAAGAATAGAATTTACACAAAGCAAAAAGAAAAATGTAACAACTAATACAAAAATAATATAGTGAGGAGTTTTATTTCACCTTAAATTCTTATCTACAGGCTGGCAACTTCAAGGCCAAATATGGCCACCGCTTGTCTTTGTAAATAAAGTTTTATTGGAGCAAAACTATGTCCAACATTTACAAAACATTTGTTTATGTATTGCCTACAACTGCTCTCACACTATACAAGCCAGAGTTGAGAAGTTATGGAAAAGATCATTATCAATTTAAAATCTATATGTAGGCAAGTCACCTTAGTCAAAATTGGTAGCCAAAAATTAAAAAGATGAAAGAGTAGAATTTATACTAGCTTTGTTTATTCTCTACCAAAACTTCTAGAATTTCCTCCTCTAAAACTCATACATTGAAAAAAAGAATTATGTGATTCTGAAAGTATATTACCTAAAAGAAGCAGAAATTCATAATGAACACATATTAGTATCTTCCAGGGAAACTAATATTTAAATGTTTGTAAAAACTTAAAAAGAACCAATAAAAGGATGCCAAGCATAATAAATCCTGATGACCATTTGAAATAGATCATTATGAAGTTACATTATTTTAAAATGAGATTGCTGTATATGAATTTTCAAGTTATGTTTAACTGGATATAGTATCTTCTAGTTGTTCATCTTTCAATATAAATTAGTATTTTTCTATAATTACTATTTCTCAGAGCAATGTAATATAAAAACTCCCCATGTTCTTTGAACTCACAGAAGATAGGATTTGAAGTAGCAGAATCAACCCAAACTGGATTATTGACTACAGGTAAATTTAATTTTTCCAAGCTTCAAGTTTCTCAAATATTAAATAAAAATTGTACTTATTCTATCCTAGTGACACGGTTGTTAAAAGATCAAATTTTTAAAATGACAGCATATGAATTTTTTTAAAGAATAAAGCAATAAAATATAGTAAATCTTATTTATTGGTTGCATTATTTATTTGTTTAGAGAATGAGACTAAAGTTAAAAGAACTTCAGTAAGTAATTGTAATTATCCATAAAGTTGGCTATTATCTTCTAAGTAGGA